CTGCGGCATCATTGGCCGCGGCGTCTCCTTGTCGGCCGCGGCATCTCTTTGTCGTATGTGGCGTTCTCTTATCGGCCACGGCACCCTCTCATCGGCCGCAGCGTCTCTTTGTCAACTGCGGCATCATTGGCCGCGGCGTCTCCTTGTCAGCCACTGCACCATTAGTCGCCGCAGCATTCCTTATCGGCCGCGGCACCCTCTTGTCAGCCACGGCATCATTGGTCGGCCGCGGCGTCTCCTTGTCGGCCACTGCACCATTAGTCGCCGCAGCATTCCTTATCGGCCGCGGCACCCTGTCGTCGGCCGCAGCGTCTCCTTGTCAGCTGGACAGAGGTCCATATTATGGAGGTATTGTTGACCGGATTGAGGGTGACAGCATATACGTCTTTTTCTCGTCACAATACGAAAATTTTGCGTATAAATACGAACGGAAGAGTGTAATACCATACCGCAGCCAATTTAATAATGGGAAATTTGAGCCTATTAGGTTAATTTTACATTCAAACACGAAACAAGCTAAGCTGAAATAATAAAAATTAAATTTTTACTTTTTAATTTACTTCTATTATTTTTCGCTGTGGTTGCCATAGGAGTAGAAGTTAGTCATAAAATAGCACAGTACCTATATAAAGCCAGCTGCGATTTTTATATTAATAAATAATAATAATATGTTTAATGCCACGTCAAAATTTTCTCTACCTGTACAATATCACAGCACCCCCGGTAAGGTTCGGTTCGGAGTTGGGTTATAAGAGAACAATATTATAGAGCAAAATATCGTATAGAATAAATATAAATAGAATTTATAGACAAATATATTATAATATACACATAGGAATACGCGATGTGCGTATTTGACGCGACACCCAAAGAAATCAAAACCGTTTTATCGCTATAATTTATAAATGCTAGAAAATACACTCGCTGGAATTTATTAGTCTTGCAAAGTATCGGAATACTATTTTAAATACTTTTTTGAATAAATTATTCGAAAACGTATTCTGAATAATTATTTTTATTCGTTGAAAACACTTTTTTTTAACTCAAAAAATAGATTATATTTATGAAAAAAAAAATTGTTCTATTAAAAGTCGAATTACGAACAATGTTTTTTTATCTCCGAATGAAATGCGATTGACATATTATACGTTAAACCCCATCCATTCCTGCAAAACTGACAAATATTAGCGGGGAAAAAAATGAGTGTGTTCTAATAGTACCCGAACACTTTTTCTAGTAGGTATTATAGTATATTCCCAGAGTACAAAATAAAAGTATTCTTTACACGGCTGGAATTCTTACACTTTATTTGCATATCATTACACAGTACGCTCTGATAGAATTCAGGATTATGTGGGTGCACGTCATAGCATATATATATGCATTATGCAAGCCTGGGCAAGTTAATGATAATATTTTTAACCGAGGAGTGAAGTTAAATTGGTATAAAACATTTTCACAAGTTCAAAGTTAATAGTTATCCTAATTTTTTTTTAAATAAGTTATATGGAACCTTACTTTTAAACTTAATTTAAGTTATTATTATTATTTTTTTTTTCAATGCGTTAAGAATTGCAAATGCTACCTATGATTTAAAGTAATAATTTAATGTAAATGTTTGTGCAATATGTATCATCAATAATATTTCATTATATATTTGTTATTTAATTATTTATAAATTAACGTAACTCGGATTTGATTAGACTAAACTCGTTATTTATTAAGTTTATATCAATACAAATCTGTTACATTGAAAATTAAGTTTAAAAAAATTAAAATTAAACTTTTTAACTCCTTTATGTCCAGGCGTGTATATATTTTAATAATATTATCGTCATCGGACGTGTCCAGACTTTTGAGAGGGTGCAAACCGGTAAGTCGTATCCAGGGTGGGCTAATAAGAGGCTTTAGTCACTGTTTTTGAGCAATTTTTGTTACTCTCAAATTCGTCATGATTTTAATCTTATATCTAATGTGGGTAAAAAAAAAATGTTGCTCCCCCCATTTCAGATTTCGTTTACCTAACGGATGTCAGTAACCAATTAAAATACAATTTATGTAAGAAAATAAAATCCTATATAAATAGGTAATAATTAATATATTATAGTTGGCGAGTACTACAACACTACCCATATAATATATTAACATTTTCCTTCCCATTTTAACGGAATTAGGACTATGTTTAGACCAAATGTGGTATGGTTAAAAATTTTTTTTTTCAGTTTCTTTGCCATTAAAAATGTAAATCGTTGGAATTTTACAAACTGTGATAGGTATAAAACATATACAATACCAAGAATATTAATGTCGTATACATTTTGATCAAAACAAATACGATTTTTTTTAAACAATACTTAATTTTATTTATATCATACATAAAATGTACAAAAATATTTTTGATTTTTTACATTTGTTCTTGGTGTTTTACCTATATTATATATTATAATGTCGTATGCATTTTTACCAATAACACAAATATGATTTTTTAAAATTTATATTGTATAGGTATAAAATGTATAAACGTGTTTTGATTTTTAACATTTTTTCTTGGCATTTTACCTATAGTCAATACTCGTAAGTCGTAATAGTATCATATCTTGTTTTGCAAAATTCTAATATTTTAAAATTATTGCTTTAATAACTCATGATAACATTCTACGATGTATGACAGTATAGTAACACGACCGAATCTGTGGTACTTGGAAAGCGCTCACAGGTGGTACCCTAAGAAAATCTCACTTCATACAAAAAAAATGACATGGAACATTATTCACATTGAATATTATTTTTGTTTATCTGATATCAATAATAATTGTACATATTATCGAATTTTCTTTTCGTGCATTAAACGCTAATATTTATATCATAATTTTGAAGTTTCTAATAAAATACGATTCCATAGGTATATACATATATGTAAAATAACGCAAAAAAAAAATAACGTTTTTAATCAAGTGGTAGGTACATGAAAATTTTTTAATTTTTTATAGTTGGTACACGGATATAGGACATCACAGGTACGCATATTATATACATGTAACTCTTGCAGTATAGTATTTATTTTATTTATTTATTTAAGTTTTAAACGCCCAATTACATACATATTAATGACAACAATTGATCGTTAGAATAATATGCAAAAACATTAAAACTATAGAGAAAAAACAATGAAGTACAATATAAATTATTATATAATATACTTATATAGCTATGAATTAACAATAAGTAAGAAATTACAATAATTTTTGAATGAGTTGAATAGTTTGGTGATATGAACAGATCGATATTTAATTAATTCATAGTTCTCGTAATTCTATGATATACTAATATATTATAGTACGAGTCCATAGACGTATCTAAGCGGGGGAGGGGGGTAGGGGGTAGAGAGTGAGAATATTAGTCCTCAGAATATTATTGTCGTCTATTTCGTTCAAGTAAATGTAATTTTATCTACATCATATTGAACTTGACGTGGCGAATGACAAATAATATTATATGATAATAGGCAATTAATAGCTACTAATAATATATATTATCACTTTTGTAATAATTATTCATCATAACCGGGTTTCACATCAGAATACAATAAAAAAAATAATTTAATGTACTGAGCAGAGCGAGTTAGTATAGGTACCTACTTTTGAGAGGTAAAAATTGAACATTTCCGCGTACCACTTGATTAAATAACGTTTTTTTTGCGTTATTATACATAATATTATGATGTTTGAAGTTGTAGTTTATCAGAAACTTCAAAAATATGATGCGATGATATAAGCGTATAGTGGAAAGAAAACACGATAATGTGTACAATTATTATTAATATCAGATAAACCAAATAATATGTAACTTGAGTAATGTTCCAAGTCAATTTTTTTTATTAAGGGAAATTCCCTTAATAATAGACGAAAAAAATAAAAGAAAATAATAAAATTCTGGAATTTTATCGCAATATCAGCTTTCGACTAAAACGATGTTGGTTTTTTTTGTTTTCGGTATGTATGTAACTAGAACAGAAAACCGTAGATACCAATTTGAAGTGTTCACTAAGTTTTTTTTTATGCTTTTTGAGTTATCTTTTACATATTATGACATTTTCGATTTTATGAAGTTTTTTGTACTTTATTGTCGATATTTTCGATTGGTCAAGAAGTTGGAAAATTGAATAGGAGGTTGCTCATAAGTTGTTCAAATTAAACAATTAAAAAAATATCGAAGATACATATAGGTATGGGCACAATATTTTTTTTTTTTTAAAGCATTTAACTAAGAAGGGATTTTCACTTTTAATCGATTCGTTTACATAATAGGTATAATGTTCACTGGCTCAAAATTACGTCTTAAATTATTACATAGGTGGCTAGTCGTATTTTTAAACATGAATCCATTTTCACTCACACTCACACGACCTGCCCATCGAGATTTAATATAAGAATATAAGTATACCTATATATATAATATTATATAGAGTATTAATACGATTCGGAGGAATTCTAATAATTACTTGTTTGTAGGTGTACTTACCCGCATTATACTCGAAGACGGTGTTTACGAAGAGTCTTATGCTTGTTCATTGCTTGCTCTATTTTTGTTTATTTATTTATCGAAAATACAATTAGTGCTTTTATACAACAAAACAATGAAATCATACTTCATTAGGGTTGTTGTAGTGCCCATTGATGACCTGGACGGTTTATATCACTGGGTGGCTACAACTGGCTAGGCAGTTAAGCAGTAAATTCACCCAAAATTCAAATCTCCAACCTTACACTTGCGCTTACGGATCGAAATTTCAGAAAAAAAATCGAATTTCTTCCCGTTTTTTTTCGGAGAAAAAATGGGGAAATTCGGTTTCATTCAGAATTTCCGGTAAAAATGGTTTTTTGGAAAAAAGTTGAGGTTGTGGTGATGGTCGATTATCAAAACACATTAATGGTTTCTGGAAAATACTCTCCCATATAAAAGGTAACATTTTTTTTTTAGAACAAATATTGAAATATCCGTATAAAATAGTTAATATAATGATAAGTTCTCCGTATTGACAAATTTCAAATGATGACAATAACAGGTTTCTTTATCTATCATTTTAACTTTGTTTTTTTTTACACTTAAATGATATACTACAGAGGTTCCCAAATTTTTTCAGCCTCGTAGCCTTTTTTTAAGGAGAAGTTTCTTGTGGAGCCCCAAGAAATATTTAACGTTCATTTGCATGAATGGCGATTTTCAGGTCTTATGGAGCCCGTTTTGAACCACCGTTCTATTTCAGTAGAAATACTCTGCGTCGTTCGTAAATACGTTAAGTAAAATAATAAAAAATTAAAAAATTGAATCAAAGAAAGAATACACGTCCGTTGTTCATAAATACTCACAACAAAATAACAAATTCACCGAATTAAACAAAATAATCACACGTCCGTCGTTCGTCAATATACGCTCGATAAACTGATGAATTAATTTAGTAATTGAGAATCAAACCTAAATTAAATGGAAGAAATGATCTAGTTTCTAGTATTATCTAAATTCTAAAATTTAATAATTGTACACAATTTTCTTATCGGGATTTTACGTAGTACACGTCATATCGGTGAATTATGGCAAGTTAAGTGTTGACGAGATTTTATGAAATATATATTCGTTTAAATAATTTAAACAATTTCAAAATTATTAAATTTGTGTGTAGTAACGAACGGAGCCCCTGGGTAACCATTTCGGAGCACAGTTTGGGTACCGCTGCTATACTACATTATTATAAGCGCATAAATACAATATTTAATTTTCGGAAAATTCTGTTTTTTAAAAAAAAATTTTCCTTTGTATTTTTCAGAAATGTATTATTTTAACATTCTCTAATTTTTCCATATTTTCCATAGATCTGGGAAAAACTTTTTTTCTGGCATTTTGATCCATGCTTGCGTATATGCGCATCGGAGTATACTGTAGACAAGTATTGGTGGATACCGGCAATGATCACTGGTTAGGTTAGCTTTGCTTTCTGGTGATCCACAGCAATAAATCTACATAGGTGATAGGTAACAGGTATAGCTGCGGTACATCATTATTCACTACTTGGGTCCTGGTAATCCATATACACTAATTATATAATATTGACGAATATCGTTATTTATTAGTAATAAACACTAATAATAATTGCATAATATTGTTATGTTTACAACTATATAATAGTAATATTTTATATTTACAGTATATTGATAAAAAATAAACAAAAAACAATAAAAATGTGATGTGCGCACTTCGCTGTTTCGAACGGGTCGACGATAAAAATATTGACTAGGTATAGACTATTGAAATAACTGTGCCGTTATATGCATATTGTTCTGTATAGATATTACGACAAATGTGATGAGAAAAAAAGCTTAAAAACGAGATCAACGACTAATTTATAATACCTAATAAGTAATAGGTGAGTATGGGTAAGTATAATAAGTAATAACACATAATAATAATAATAATAATAATAATAATAATAATAATAATAATAGTAATAATATTAAAAATAACACAAATTTCTATATCTTAATTTCGAGACATAAAATGGAACTATCCTTACATAATTATTAAGTAAAAGTGAATTTAGGTGTACATTATATCATATACATATTAATATATATGATAAATATTCTATAACATATATATTATAATATGCCTATTATATGGCCATATGTATGTACATATATGTGCAGGCACAATATGCTGCTGCAAGTGTATGTGAATGACACTGAATGTGTTGTAGAGCCTAAGTCTTAAATGTTATCTTACAATATTATTATAATATAATATAATAACGCGGTGACTTGGGGGCACAAAGTTTTTTTTCTGAAAGGAATATTGGTAAGTCTGATTTCGAGAAGCAATACAAATTATTACCAACCTGCGGCTTTTGTACAGCAGTCAGCAAGTGTTCTGCATCTAACAGGTGTCAAGCACTTAATTTCTAAGCTCTACAATAATTCTGAGCATATACAGACATATAGGGTCATATTATATTTTTCGAAACGAATTGTTAGACTGTTGTACGCGTTGTACAATATTTGTATGCTATGGTACCTGTGTACTCTGTCACGCCAACAGAACCATAAACGAATAAACGATACCTACCTACAAGATATGTAATACTACCTACGCTTTGTATTTGTACGCGATGTACTAAATTTTAGTACAAACAAAATGATATACAGTTATGATTTATACGATAAAGTACATTAAAAACTTTCGATTTAAAAAAAAAAAAATAAGTATTCGAGGTGTATTATTACAACGTCGTTAAACACCAATACAGATGGCTTCAAAAAAAGCTTTTGTTCGGCCGAGCTTTTCTGTACGCAGTGAAACCTCGATAACTCGAATGGGTAAGGGAAAAAAAATAAAACTCGAAAAATGGTACGTACATATTGAAATGCAGGGGCCAAGACATGTGTCGACGAAAATTCGACTTTCATCCCTTCGAGTTATCGACGTTGCGCTGCATATTATATAGAGCATAATATCGTTTTTTTTTTTATACTCTGGCCATTTTAAGTAATTTGTTTGGTTCGATCGTGTGTCGGATGCTCACGAAGTTCGTTGCCTGCAAACAGAAAATAACATAAAATATATTCCTCAAAAGTACGCTCTCGTGACTTTAAGTTTACAATATTTATTTTGCTGTGAACGAACCCCTCTACCCCCCCCCCCCTCCCCCATTAAATTTTATGCATCTCTATAAATCTGCATGTGCGTGTAGTGATAACAGAATATCAAACCGTCGAAGAATCTTAACTACAATAATAAACAATAGCGATCAAGAAAACTTTATAATATTTTGGGATTATCTCGTATAATACGTACAGTCATAACACTCATTAAGTGCCCTACCTACCTGAATAAATATTATGTATAACTATTGTCATTTATGTGTGCCGTGTGTATAATCGACGTATAATAAGTAATAAACAAGCAAAATACAATATTCTCAAAAGGTTGAAATGTACTTATAATGAGACGGTATTGACATTTGAAAATTTAAAACTGATCAAACCAATATAATAGCTGATTATAAAAGTTGTTTAATTTGTCAGGTTTTCCTGTCGCACGGTCTGAACTTAAATACCTAACTTATAGCGCCACGATGAGTGGAATTCGAAATGCATATGAATGAATGAGGCTGACAATAATAATATATAATAATAACAGTAAAAATCAAAAAGGATTTAATTTTTTTTTTAATCAATTAAAAATCGTTTCAACCCGCATTCGGTCTGCTCAGTATTTGAATGATATTTTATCAATCATTCGTCGGAGAGGGCGAAAAACGCGAAATCCTTAATTTATGAGTTTGATGTTCGTGTTGAGTGCATATAATGATATCATCGTGATTTTCGAGGAAGAAATCGCAGAGCATCGTTACGTATCGAATTTTTCTTCTCGAAAATGTTGACTATACAATACACATAATATTATTTAGGTACCTAGTTATTGGTTTCTAAACCCCGGTCGTGGTTCTACTACCCCTACTGCAGGTAGTACTCCCCGCGCGGTACGAGGCCGGTGGTGCTGCAGGCCAGAAGACCCGCTTCGACTCGTCTGCGATGCAGGTTTTGGCGGTGATGGTGGCGGCGACGGTGACGGCGACGCGAGGAGGCGGGTCCGGCGGCTGGGTCGCAGTCGTCGTCGCCGTCGTCGTCCACGTCGCCGCCGCCGAGTTGCTATTGTTGTTGTTGATGTTGTTTCGATCCGACGGCCGAGGTGGAGGTCGTCGTGGCAGTCGAAGTGGTCGTGGTCGTCGTGGCCGTGGTCGTGGTCGTCGCCGCCGCAGCCGCAGCCACTGCAACCGTAGTGGCGACCGGCGACTGCTGCAGCGACGCATGTTCGTCTGCCTTAAGCGACGATGACGATAACGACGGCGTGGCGGCGGCGGCCACCGCCGATTGCGCTCGGTTTGCAGACAGATCGTCTGCTGCAGCGGCGACGCCCGACGACGACGAAGCAGCGGTGGCGGCGGCTGCGGTTGACGACTGCGGCGGCTGCTGCTGTTGTTTCTTGCCGGGTGACGGGGCAGCGTCGACGGTGGCCGCGGTGGCCGCCGCGGCCGAGTGCACGCAGCACGTCTGGTGGTGCGTCTCCCAGTCCTTGTGCTGACAGAACGAACTGCAATACTGCGCCGTGTTGCACCCGCTGCACGTCTCGTTCGCCTTCCGGCCGCAGTTCCAACAGCTCTGCGCACAACACGCACACATTTTTATTGTTATGATAGGGGTCAATGGGTCAGATTTGAATTCGGAGTCGGGGGTACATTCGAGTGGCATATTGATGTATTTGATGACTCTAATCTCCCCTCCCCTTAAGTATAGATAGTATGTCACCTTTTTGTTTTATTCGTTTTCATTATTATAATACATTATATTGTTACTTTATTTTTTGAAAACAAACGACCATATTCTAGGCCCAGTGCAGTTAATACAATACATAAACCTCGTATATAATGACTTAATAGTTATTGTTCAAATGTATATGAAATAAATATTGATTAAAACTTATAATTTATAAGATAACAGAAATAATTATTTATTCATGAATAAATTAAACATTTGTACCCAGTTGAGTTATCATTTGAAGAAATTGAAGTATTTTAATAAATTTCCCTTAATTATAATTCGGTGAATCGGAGCAAAAAATACTGTAATTCTGCAGTATACCTACACTCTACAGCAGAGGTTCCCAAACTTCTTATTGTGCGACCCATTTTGAATTTTTTTTAAAATATAGCGACCCACAATATCAATGAATGACCTTTTTTTTTTTTTTACCATACAACAGAAAATTAAACTATTTTATTACATTTTATATTTTAACCCACTTTTGGGTCGCGACCCACAGTTTGGGAACCTCTGCTCTACAGTATTATTGTATATTATTTAACCTATACAGTTATACAATGTGTCCCCTGAAGAATTGAGTGGCGTCATATTATGATAGTATTCATTAAATTATTAAAAAAAAACCCTCAAAGGGTGGGTCTTTTTTTTTTTTAATTTTGGCAATCTAACTTGTTTTTAGAATAAGAACTTAGAACGTACTACACGTTTGTTGACATATCCTCCAAATTTTCCAAGTTATTATAGTAATTTTTTTAATTTAAAGTTGTTAATACTATTTTATTGTGTCATCAACTAACTTATATAATATCAAATAGAAATGTAAAATTTTTTTTTATTAGATTGAAAAAGTACAAAAAAACGTTGGCATAAATTAGCATTTTTGAAAGGAAATCGAGGGAACTCCAAATAACGCCGTGTTAACTACTGTTGTTTTGTAATTTATTATTTTGTAGAATAATACCTAAAATACTAAATTTTGTTTACATATCCATTTCTGAAAAATGCCACTGTTAAACTTGACACGTATTTCCTGATTGTAACTATTACAATAATTATTGGAAAGCGACGAGGCATGTACTCACAGAGGTAAAATTTTGGAAAACAAAATGTTTAAGGTATCAAGGTATTACTCTGCAGAATAATAAAATAAAAATAAAAACTGTAGTAAATAGTTAGTTTAATTCCTAATTAAAAAATAGACACACTAACCACACTTGCTCAAAAACTAATTATGTTAACAAAAATACATTAAAAGCAAATTTTCAAAATTTTCAGCAAATGTCAATGAAAAAAAATCTTCAACCTCTATGCATAAATGTATGTGATAGTATTGGAGGTAATTCGCAGCAGTGGTGTATCTGATTTGCCTATCTATAACGCCGAGTTACCAAAATCGTATAATATATCGAATTAATGCGTCATAAAATATTCAAAAAACAAAATATATTCGTTATAATGTATTACATGGAATACTAATAAAATGGAAACAAAACTGACATGAAAAATGAGACGATTGGCTTCGGAAGCGTACAGTACCGAATACATCCAGACCATCCAGTCGGGTGTTGTATCATACAAGCATACTATGTTAGGGCAGAATTTTTTAAAAAGGAGGGGGGGAGTGGACAATACAAAATATTTATAAATATAATAAACACAATTTCCATTCCTATATTATATTAATTATATTTACATAATATATCATGTACTCGTATTCATAATATTATCATATAGGTACTGACGTACTCATTCTTCACTATAATGACCACTATACACCCCTTCCCCCCACCCCATCTGCCTACAACTCTACGAGGTGATCCATTAAATGTAAGACACCCTTATTATTTCAGAAAATACGAACGATTTTGAAAATATTTATTCTACATAATTTTTAGTCATTCCAAAACAACATTTTTGTGAAACAATTAAGTTTTTATAATTTTTTGTTGTCATTATTTTCACACGTCTTTTGAACTACTACATATATTTTTAATTTCATATTGTAAATCGTATTAGGGATATTCGATCAATAAAAATCAAATTTTAGACATTAAAAGCTTTAAGTATTTAAAGTTTAGACGAGTGGATATATATAGACAAATATTTTGAGAGGAACACTTGTACCATTTCAATCCGCTCCTTAAACTTTGAATACATAGAAATATAACTCATGTACTGTGCGTTCAAAATTTGGTTTTTATTTATTTCTCCAAGTGCTTAAAAAAATATACTCATTTGATATCGTAGTAATTCATGTTACCAATGAAAAAAAGTTAAAAAATATTGTTTTTCTAATGACTGAAAATTATATGAAAAAAATATTTTTTAAAGTTTAAACATTTTTCGAAATAATAAGGTCGTGTGTTACGGTTGAATGTATCAGTCGGCAGTATATCGTGCAAACAGTTTCTTTAATATTACTGAAAAGGTTTCGGCGAAACATAATTATATTATAATAATTGACATATCAAAAATTGTTTTACTTGTGTCAAAATCAGTAAAATGTATAGACTATCGATCGGCCCTCGTCGGAATTAATATAATACATATACGTACAGTCAGCAGTTTGGAGATATGGCGTACTTATTCAACATTAATAATCTGACTTGACTATACCTACTCTGCTTAGCTTGATTTTCGACCATAGTTTTCACTGCACTTGCTCGATAAACCGACGGGAATCATTCGACTAGAGGCGTGTTTCGACCAGATTAGGACCACGGTTAGCGTGACCGTTAATCGTGAAATTCGTTGACATCTCATCATTTTCAAGCACGCTCACCCCATTTTATGTTTAAATTATGCACAATACATTTAGGTTATGATTTTTGGAATTTCCATGTATATAATATAGTAGGTACTAGGTACAGTTAAATACGATATTTTCGAACAATTATGTTACACACACGTGTTGATGCATTATTACTTGAGTGTATCATATTACGCATCGGGCTTACGTCACGCGATTTATTGCGAGATATTTTATTTGTATAAAGGTGATATAAGATTTATAAATATAATGCGATATCTTAAGCATGCTCACCCCATTTTTATGGCGTATAAATTAGAGTATATTTATTTTAGATGTAGATTTTTTGAACTTTCAAGTGTATTATAGGCGTAGAAGTTATACAGAAAATACTTAGGAACACTTGTATATTTCACGACATTTAAGGAGTATAATAGTGTGGCCATATACAGCAACTTTGGTTTTCCAAATGAGAACATACGTGTTTTGATCCAAATATTTGTGAATCGGATGATTTTTCCACACTAATGTTGATGCTTAGTGTAGTGTGTAATGGGGATTTTAACGACTAAATAAGCTTTTGAGTTATTACTTTTTATTGTAAGTAGGCACCTCAAATACTAGTGGATACAACTCTACTGAAAGGAAGTTATTTGCTTTTGTTTAAAAAAATATTGGTGCCAATATCCGTAAACATTTTGTAATATAAAAAAGTTGTCTCTTGAGTATATATTTGACTATTTATTAATAAATATTTTATATTGCATACCTACTAATTAGATATAATTACCGAACTCGTTTGCATTTTTTGTAAGTATTCAATTTAAACTATTTCCAAAAACCAAGAATTCGAAATAATATCGTCTGTACATTATTGTACACTTGAAAATTCGAAAAATCAAAATCTGAATGTACGCTGAGTATTAAAAGTCATAAAAACGGGGTGAGCTTAAGTAATCACCCTGTATTATTATTATTATTATTATTGCTGTGATATCTAGTAATAAATAACTTGACGTAAGCACGACGCGTAGTAGCTGATGTTTTAATAACATTTAAACGCAAGTACAATGATACAAAAAAATAGTATAATATGCAATCATAGGTGTTATTGAATCGTTTTGTATTAAAACTCATTTGCGGTGTACACCTATGAATAATCGTAATAATATATATATGTCATGTGGTGCCTAAACGAGAATATTACACATATCGTACCCGGTATCGCCGATTTTATTACACGTTATACTGTTATTATTATTACTACCACGAGAATAAAACGAAATAATAATAATAATAATAATAATAACAATAATAATAAAAAGTTTATTTTAGGGTTCCACGTGCACAGTGTACGCCCGTCGTCGGCGGTTTGCGTTTACTCGGCCAGTCACTATAGTACATTATAATATTACGAGTGTACGATAGACATACCCGCGAATGTGTGTCTACAGAGTGATACGCCGAGCTTTCAGGCTTTCCGAAGTGTCGGGCTGCAGTATACGAGAGAAAACGGGAAAACACTGGGCAACACGCTCTGTATATACTATTCGGAGAGATCGAGAGAGGAGCCTGCGCGTGCGACTGTGGACCAGATGGTAACAACGTGGTAGGATAACTACTTACAGACCCACACACACACACACACACACACACACACACACACAATCATGCGCATATATGCTGGACGGCACGTGTAACGAAGGTCTGCACAGTATTACAATAATATTTTGAAACGGTATGCATCCGATAGACATTTATTAGAGGGTTGAGAAGAAGAGTCTGCGGAGTATTGATATTATATATAGGTACATGTGTATAACGCTTTCCCGACTACCCCACCCCAGCCGCCTGGATAACAAATTGACGCGAGACAACTTTACTGGTTGGTCTAGTCAGTTTAGTGATGCCCAAATTTCCGAGAACTCACAGTTAAGGGAATCTCCTCGAGGAATATATAAATACTATAAAGTTTTTAAATATTATTCATAATATATGCGACTTTCAATGTTTAATTGTAAATGACAAAATTTGTATTAGATAATATAAAATTTAATAAAGTTATGATTTCGGCCGTTAGTAAAAAGAATGGATAAAAAGAAATTCCTTATGATTATTAATTATCCATACAATAATTTATACCACTACTCTGTTTAAATTAACCAGGAAACTTCCAGAGAGATCGGGGAATGTTCCTAATGGCACATCAATAGACTACTTTCACGCGATATTAATGATCATGATTCGACGAGAGAATAAGACGAAAATCGAAATGATAACGAAATTATAGCAACCTTCTACACAGCGAAATCTCCCTTAATGGACACCTATACTATTTAGAGGACGTTTTTTTGGGGGGACGAGCTATAAATTGTCTACGACCAACTGAGGAGTGGACCGATTTTCAGAGACCTAGGGTGTCCGGTATTTAGAGGTTTTACTGTCAATATGATGAGTGTAAAGAATTAAAAAAATTATGAAAACAAATCAAAATTTGAAGTGAACTTACGCACCTATTTTATTGTACAAGCTAACCTAATGTATGTTATATACCGCACGAGTTCCGTAAGTTTTGTTGTGCATTGTTCGTTTGTTTTTTTAAACGTTTGTCAAACACGTGTGCCGCGTTGCACACAGGTGTTCAGCACAATATTTAAGCGTATCAAACACATACGTTTGTGTACTCAAGTAGAGGTACCCGACACTATTTTATTATTATTGTTATTATTATATGCACACAGCTGGTGTTGGGTAAGGTAAATTGCTCGTTTTTTAAGACGGTTTTCATTTTACAATCGCACTTTTTGAGCACAACAATTAATACAAATATTTGTATTTATTCGCAAAGCATAAGGTTCATAATGCTCGACGAGCATATTATACCCGATACAATAGAAAAGTCTAGGATTTAGATTTTAATGAAATACAAGTAAGACGCTCATTGTAAAGAAAAAAAAACTATGAAAGTTTTTGAAAAAATATTTTTTACTATTTTTTATCTCTTTCATTTTAAAAGTTTGTTTTCACTTTTTTTAAAGACAACATTCATTTTTAATTCGGTATTGGGTTAAAAAATATTGAAAATACTGTATTCCGAATACTACTCAACACTTGGTGTCATGAGTGCTTGTGAGGGGGTGCTGGGGGGAGCGTTCCCACCTCTATTTTAGTTGATATTCATCGTTTCATCACTATTCACTTGTAAAAACAAAAAAAAAATATGTACTGTGTTATTAGAGATTTAAACATTTTCTAGGGATTAGAGGGGGAAGGGGGGTTTATATTTCTGCAGGCGCACTTGCTGGAGGTGCTCGTCCGAACCCACCAATTTCAATCTGACAAAAATCGTACGCGACTTACGTTGTACTGCGAAATCAACGACGGCGATATCTGTAGACTGGCCGCTCCCGCCGAGCTCCTGCAGTTACTGCTCATTTTCGTCCTTTCCGCGGCCACCAGTTCGATCATTTTGTTTTCGGCGGCCACCACGAGCTTTTGCAACTCTATCATGGCCTGGTGCCGTATCTCGTTCATCGAATCCTCTAAAAAAAACAAAATAAAACGAAAGAAGCCTAAATAGTTATTATGTTACGTGAATTACAAACAATGCAAGTAGTTAATTAATATAATATTGATGCGCGAATTTCATAAATAGATAATTTTGCACGACGTGCACTCGCGTGGTGGTGAACTGGGTTTCAAACAAATCTTGAAATTTTATTTTTCAAGTTATTTCCAAAATATTGGTAAACGTTCGAAGTTAATGGAAAAACATGCGATCGGAGGCTACTAGAATTTCGCCCCTCTTCACAAAAAAAGCTTCTTGCGCTGGAAATATAAGAGTTTTCAAATTTTGAAAACTATTTCTAAGATAATGGTGGAAGCTTGAAAAAATTAGACGAAGTGGGGGGGGGGGACTTCACACACATGACGTGAAAATCGGTAATTTTTTTTAAACAACTTCGTCAAGTCAATCAAAATTGCCGATGGCGATAATTACTATCGTTTTGCACGGATTTGACCGATAAATTTGAAGTGCTCTTATGTGGAGTCGTAACACATAATATTATGTTAGTCTGCTACACATTTTGTGACTTAAACATGCAAAGTTTGACAGAGTAAAATAATTATGGTGTAATACTAATTTCAAATTTCAAAATAAAATCTTAATCATTTTCATTTGATCACTTTTTGTGACGGCGACGAATTTTAATACATAATATATATAATATGCATACCATACGTGAATTTAGGCTACCTACTAAATTGAACAAATAACAAATATTTTTTGGTCGTAGCAATAAAAAAAAAATAAGGACAAAAATTTGTAAGAGGATCGATTTTGAAAAAAAAAAAACGAAATGAAAGACAAAAAATCGAAAAGATTGATAATAATATTTTTTTGTGAAACTATTATTATAATAGTATATAATAAACACATACATGTGAACAACAACAACAATAATATGTAGGCATACAATTATTATTTTTTTGAATTCCATGCGATTACAAATAAACGATTACCTTGAGAAACGATGTTTTTAATATTCTTGAAATCTGTGTATAAACGGAATCAATAAATTATTGGTGACATTTATGTCTAATAATATTATACATACAGGGTGAATCACCAAGCATGCTCACTCCCAAATTTGTCCATTAATAATGAATTTATTCGAATTCTGATGTTTCAAACTTTTAAATATTATATGCTCTTAGGCAATTTTTACAAATTCTTGAATTTTGTTGTGCTACTTAAAGAGTGTCCTGTGGAGGTACAACCTTCTGTTTTTTCAAACGAGAACCCCCCTCGCTTACTGAAAATTATTTAGCTGACAATTTTTTTGAACATTTGTATGTACCTATCAAAATTCGAATTTGTAGTTTCTTAGTTATTAAAATGTTTGTACTAAGGATAATAGTCCTTAAGAATGGTTTTATAAAAATATAAAATATAGGTAATATTGGAATTAGTATTTATTATATACTTGTGCTATTTTCACGAATCATTAATGCCGATGGATTAATACTAATGGCTAAAATTTTCAAATCACCATAGTCCCTCCCTCCCATATCTTATAAGTTCATTGACATCCTTATATATTACATCCTAACATAAATTTAAAAAAAAACCAAAACTTGTCGTAACTTCGTAAGACTTGATTCTGATGCGTCAAATTTGTCAGCAAAATTATCTATGGAATGATTTTTCATTATTGGAAGGGGGAGGGGTCTCGTTTGAAAAACAGAAGAAAACAGAATTTAAATCAAAGCTCTGGTTTATTGAACAATTTGAACATTCGTTAAGAAATAATAATATGTATTACCACGGAGTGAAGTTTAAACAATATTTTCATAAAACGTTTTGAAACAATTAAACGCTTAACTATAACATTTTAGTGAGTAAGATGAAAAAATAAACCATAGGTAACTCAAAATTATATTATTGTTATATTTAATAAAATATCATTCATATCAAAATTGTATTTTACATTCTGAGCTGAGGGATAAATGCATTATTTTTCTTACAATGATCTGGTTTATTTTAATTTATTATTTGTTTTATTTTTGTAACGAATAATTCGGGAGCACAACGACATTCGACTGACGGAATTTCGAATACGTCTTATTAAACTTTTGTCATAACCAGGGTTATCAATAGGTAACCGGTAACCGTGGACATTTATACACCACTTTTGAACCAAACGAATTACATTTTTTTTTTTTTTTATTGATTTATTTGTAAATTCCATTTTGTGCCTATTCAAATTTAAAACTAAAATGTATAGTTCTATATTATAATATATTAATGTGTGGGTGAACTCATTATTTGTTTGTTTTAACACAATGCTGTACTTGACGTGACGTGTATAATGTATATATTTTGATATTATCAACCATCATAAACACAACATAATGCATTAACCGGGGGTTCTTAACCCCGTTGGTCCATAGACCCATTTCGTGTCCGTAGATGACTACTCGGGGGTCTACACAGTGGTTGAGGGTTTTATTTTTAAATTACCCAAAAAATGAACAAACTTAGAAACTGAATATTTATACCGTGCATTTTTGTACCGCAAACTTTATTGAATGTATATATTTTTTTTATTATCGTAAATTCGAGCGGTTGTTCATATTTCGGTGTGAAGTTTCCGATAACGTACAGTTTAATCATTAAACTGTTTTTCGTATTGAAAGAAATTTGAAAAAAAAAATAAATGAATAATTTATACACAATTTGACGTAAACATTTTACTATATTAACTGTACGTCAACTAAATATATATTAAAACACTGTATTATTATTATTATTATTATTATTTAGGTACAATATTGTATGATTATAAAAATGATATATTATTCTAAGTACCAGTAGTAGTCATTTTATATTTACAAAATCTATAATTTATATAATAAACATTAAGTTGGTAGTCATTTTATTTCACGTTTGACAAAAAGAACGAAATAAATATTTTTATTTGATATTTACATAATACACTTATAAGTTGCGATATGGGCTTAACAACGCGTATTTTTTGTTACGAAATATTGTAGATTTTTTATATATATAAAATAAAAAAAAAAATTATAATGTGCGTAATAATTAAAAGAACAGTGGTTTTTAGTTGTGATGAATTATCTCTATATTATATTAATAATCGATATAAATTTTTTTTTCTTTAGTTATTTAAAATAATATTATGTTTAATTTGTAAAATTATACATTTTTAAAAAAAATTATTTATTTATAATACTTGCATCCAGTCATACTCAAATGTCAATAGTAAAAATGTTTTACAAAAAAGTAACAAATAATATCAAATCGAGATAAACGAGTAAGTAAGGCCCCACTTGGCCAACAAACCGCAACGCATTAGTGGTGAAAGAGAAACACTACCTCGTGTACCATTTGTGGGATAGCACTTGCACCATCAGATCCATGATGCTCACACAATTCTGTACGATGAATTCAAATATTCGATCGACTGTGCGAGACTCTCGGATCGGGATCTCTCCCTCTCTCTCACTCCTCGTCCCTTTTTTTTTCACTCTCCATCTCTATGATTGTCGCAGATAAAAAAATCTAAAATATTAGTAACCCACAAATAACAGACCGATGTCAAATTATGTGGCGAAAGAGAAGCCCTTCTCCTAGATGTGGAGCAGCACTTGCATTATGAAACACATATTGCCTAAGCGAATCGATACCTATATACAAATAAGAAAGCTAGACTCAGCTCTGCTCGGGCACTCTCTCCCTCTCTTTCTCTTTTTCTCACTATTATAATCTTTTTCATTACTATCAATAAAAAAATCTAGAATACAATAGTCAAAAATCAAGAATACAAGCTTAACCTGCAAGTAGAAATTAACGATTTCGAATTACCGTTTTCGAAATTTATCGTTACCTATATTAATATTTAATATAATAAAAAATAAAAAAAATATATTTAAACGTTGATTATATAATATTTACATGCATTTTATAGTAGTTAATTAGAAGTATTTCAAATTGTAAACTGTTGATTTGACAATGTATGTTTATCATTTCGTTATTGGACAATTTTAGTATTATATTATTATTATGTTACATAGCTTAAAATAGAGGAAAATTATTCACGGTTAATTATAAAAAAAGTCTCAAAATGTAACGTTTACTTAAAAATATAATGAAACAACAATTATTGCAGATAGTAAAACCTACAAAAATATAAATAACACATTTATTGTTTTTCAATACATTTTATAATCCACATCGTGTTCTCGAGAAAACGAATGCTCAACACCCCGTTATTGTTTATATATTTAAGTGTGATTCGACTGCGGGTTCTTATTTATTTAATAGATATATAGATACATAAATCAATAAACAACAGAAAATGAAAAGGTGACAATTATTATAATAAATTCAACGACAGTATAATACAATATATTTTCTTAAACAATAATAATTATTATATATATTGATTAAACGAACGCAAAGCAATAACGACATCATCGTCACGGGATGAAATCGAAAACACCCCTTTCGTGAGCTTAAGCATATTTCTTACCAGCTTTCTTTTTGATGTTTTCGATCTTCTCTTCCGTGTGCCGTATCGTCTGCGTCAGAATTTCTTCGGTCGTTTTCTTTCGGTTCCAGTCCGGAAAACTCGTCTCGGTCATGCCACGCTCCTGGAGTATACCCAACGCTTTTTTCGTCTTTTCCACCATGCTCAGTATACAGTTCAACATCTATAATAATTCAGCACACGAGTTCTCGTATTAAACAAAATGTATATGCAATAATTATACATTATAATTATAATAAGAGATTCGGTAGAGTGCCTGGAAATTTTCTGGGAAGGGGGGGGGGTTGTTGTAAGAAATGACCAAGGTTGGGATTGTAAAGCACTTACAGTTGTAAAAATATGTAATATAAAACAACATAATATTCAAAAATTGGAATTTTAAAACAAAGTTAAGCACACGTTTGTTTAAACACTAAAAAAATAACCGAAACACGTTCAACCGAAAACCACTAGTATATTAGGTACAAGAGTACACTGGTAGTCGACCGAGTTAATTTAGTACAGGAATCGTCAAAATTTTCCATCAAGCGTTTCTTTGATGATCGACCACTATTTATTTGTGTAACTATGAGATTTACCATAAATGGTTAATTCGAGGAAGTGCGACATACGGGTGATCAGCCTCTGTATATGTTAAATATACAGATATGCTTTTGGGCTGGGTACAAGTTTTTTTTTTAACCGATTTTTGTAACGGTTAGTTTATTTTCATAGAAACGCAACTATTCACAAAAACATATCAATGATTCTTCAATTTTGTTCGTGGTGTAAAAATATCTAGTTTACAAAACGTAAAAGTGTGTTTAAGATTATGCAGCAACCGATATTGGTATGATTAATTTGTAATATGAACTACCAATTTTCTTCTAAAAATCGACTGGTTGGTAATCCCTGGTATAGTAAATAATACATATATAATGCTTCCAACACTCGTTCGATAATAATCGCAGCCTTAAATGATAAAAAAGGGCCCATCAAAATCGGCAAATAACAAAAGTTCAAATTAAATCAAATTTTTTTTTTCGAAACTATACGTTATCGCGCCCCTTGTAATCGGTTTATTTCATTTAATCGGTATTTACTTTTAAAATTATACAGTAAAAAAAAGTTCATTTAAATGTGATTTCACAATATTAGATCCTAGACCGTCAATTTTGATTAAAAAATGGGCCAAACTGCAAAATAAAATGTTTAATTTCAGTTCTCTGAATCATGAATCATGAAACAAACTGTAAGCTCACTCTCCTACCTCTTAAGCATTTTATAAGAAATATGCAAATATTCCAAATGCTATAAAATCCCAACCCAGTTGGTGATAGTACATTTAAATGAATAACATTGTGGAGCTAGTACAAAAGACACAAATAAGGGAATTTATGGGACAATAGGGGAAGCATAATCCCTAAGGGGGAGGCCTCTGGGCACTCCACTGATGAGATTTAATCTCAAAGTCGATTGATGTGAAACAAAACGTGTGTTCTGAGGTTAGCTGTAAACGACATGACGGTATGTTTCCTTTACCCCTACGGCCTTGTGAACATATTATATACATAAATGGTTGGGGTAGTTGTTTGTTATAATGTATAACCGCCCATAGCGTATATAAGTATACAGATGACGAGGGGTGATTAAAATGTAAAAACTAAATTAAAGTTGTCTTACACGGGCCGCGTTTTTCTATACAAAGAACCATTTTCCAGGAAAACAGCATTCGTTTAAAATAATGTTAATGATCTGCTGAACGTAAATAAATTATTTTATTTACTCGTGCAGTTTCAGAATGTGGTCGTAAAAAGAATACAAAGAATAAATAGAATGGGAAAAAATGATCCACTAAATAATCCACAGCAATAAATGGGGTTCCCATTTGAAAAACGGAAGTTTGTATTACCACGCAGGACACCCCTTAAGTATTCAAGAATTTGCAAAAATGGCTTTTGAGTATATTTAAAAATTAAGCCAAAAGTCAGAATTTGAATGACATTTCATTATTAGAGTAAAACGTGGGGGGGGGGGGGTGAGCGTGCTTGGTGAATGGCGAATCACCCTGTATATTATACTCGATAGTCAACACGACGACACTCGCAGGTAGGAATTCAATGTTGCATTTGTATATTATCGAAACTCGTTCACACGATATATTGTTCGACAAAGTTTGAAACTCAAAGTTCTCATAATAACATTGTATAACTATATTGAAACTCTTTATATAAAGCCCTTATAGGTATATACTGAAAGAACCGCAAGTGCGTGAAACATATTGAAAAGACAAAACACATTTTTAAACATTATTGTTTTTGCGAATGATTCTAAAACAGTAAAATCGAAGGTGAAATAGTGAAGACCAGATTTAAAAATTATAATCTATAACAACTTAGCTTATAATTTTCTTAGCACTTTTTGTTTCATATTTTGTGTTTTTATTTTATTATTTTATTTTGTTGGGGTGCAATATAAATGTGCATATGAGTAGTGGTAGGAAAAGCATTGCAAACCCAAACTACAGATTGATAGAAGTTTTTCGCTTTTATTTTTTATGTCAAATTAATTTTATTTTCTTAATGAATATCTATCAATAATTTTAGCATAAATATGTTTTTGGGCTGAATACAAGTTTTTTGTTTCTGATCTTAGGTTTACGTTTTAGTTTTTAGTATAATCTTTGACATAGTGAACAATTTTTTTTTGCAGATATTGGATTACGAGATGGATAATTATTAGCACAGGATAGAGACAGGTAGAATCAGGCTTGTGTTGCGGTTTAATGGACTTCAATAGCCTTTGAAGACCTAAGATGAAGATTAAAATAATTTCAATTTTCAAAGTTATAATTTTTTAGCGCCTCCTTCCCTCTGCGTACGTCACTGCTGGTATACACATAATAATAAATAGTGATAATAATAATATTATGATGTTATGTAACTATACTACGAGACTTGCGTCGAACGCACTTACCACATGTATGTTCTTCCATTCGTCCTCCACGTGGCCCTTGTGGTCTTCCACTTCGCGGATTTGCAGCAGTGGCAGTATGTTGTACGGGTGCGACGGCAGTGGTGGCAGTGGCGGCGGCGGTGGCGGTTCCTGCGGCTGAAGGTGCGGGTGATGGTACATGAACGGCATGGCGTAACCGAGGTTCGGCCGCTTGATGGACGGCTGCTGGTACTCCATGTCGGCCGCGTAACCGGTCTCGTAGTAACCGTCGGCCAACGGGTACGGCCGCTTGTGGCCGTTTCCACCGACGTTGTTGTTGTTGTTGTTGTTGGCATTGCTGTGGTTGTTGTTGATTCCATTGTTGATGTTGGTGTTGTTGTTGTTCTCGCGTGGCATCGGCGACGGCGCCGGGACACGCTCCACTTGGTGGAAGATCTCCGACGGTTCCGTGGCCTGCGAGTCTCTGTCCAAGTACGCGTTCTCGTGCTGTTTCAGGTATTGGCATAACGTCTGCAACAACGATGATAGTTTGTATGGATAATTTTTTGTTGCGTGTAATACGTCTAACGTCAGGCTGGTCCTACGGCTCTTACAGCTTAGGTTACGTTAAGTTAGGTTATCAACTTTAAACCTATTAAGTATAATTACTACATCTTATGTGTTCAATAAAGATCGGATGGTGGTGGGGGGTGGACGTTGCTGGTTGGACTACTCAGCCTTAATCGATTTTATCCCCCCCCCCCACCGGTTTTTCTTTAATAAATATCTTATCTAAATTTTGATTTTTTTAATGTTAAAATACACTTTTTAGAAACCTTACATGGGTTTTAGTTTCAAACCAGAAGTTTTATAATATTTATAACCTTGTGTGGTATGTGTAATAATAGGCTTAGAGTCATGTGAGCCACGATGATTTTAGCTGTCTCTGTAAAGTGAAATTGTTCTAAAACCTAAATTCACAAGATACAAGTACTCCAATCTAAAGTTCTGAGGACAATATGGCTTTATGGTTTGTTCGTAATGATTCATCTCACAAAGATTTCCATCTATACCCACAAATAACTGAGTACATAAAAAAATAGCAATTAACTTCTTCAACCACATAAATTCTGCTCGCAGTGCGAAATTTTACAAACTACCTTCTGTACGCCGACTCAAGAGTGTACGTGATCTTTTATCATAATATTATTACATTCTTAATGGTAAATCTTTTGTATCGTAGTAGTATAATTGTATTCTTATGTTGTAGTTAGTACATGTTATGTTGTCAAATACTGTAATATTTTCAAATTACTGACTTTTAATACTACTTTTGTTATTGTTATCTATTATTCAAAAGTACAAATATGTAATTTCATTAACAATAAGTTTAGATGACATAATATCAGGGAAACTTTAGCAAATAAATAAATTAAAAAAAATAAATAATGGTTTTAAAATGATAGTAATTATTAGTAAAAATTGTCGAGTGTTACTGTTAGTGTTACTATTTCTCTCAAGCATTTACAGCCAACTTTTGTATTTCCGTTCATATACTCATTGTAACAATCATTACAGATTGTATATATTCATATAAATCTTAAAAAAAAAAAATAGTAAAATAGCTATTTTTCTTTTCAACGAAGTTTTAGTAGGTACCTATATCATGCCGAATAGAAACAAAACGAGAGAAATCTGTTTCGAAATGTTAATTATTATAATAAAAATAATGTTAAGGCGGTTATGTTGTTGCTCCAAAATTATTTCCCGAATGCACTTGACGTTTTCAGTGATTTAACGCGTTTCGGCGTGATACGATATTAGGTTACGGCGGCGGCGTTATAAACTGTGCGAAACCGTCAAAACCCGGATTCCATAAAAATAAATAATTCTCCGTTGCTTTATGCTGTATGTACCTACTGCAATGGTAGTAAAAATGCGGTAGGTATGTATCCACACAGCATTTTTCAATGTAAACGATTAAATAAATATTAATTTTGAATTGAAATTGAAATATTTAAAATTAAAAGTTAATTCTACTTTAATATATATTTTATTTTTTTAGTAAATTTTCAAATATTTAACAGTAATTAATAATTATTTAATTATAAATATTTTATTTTCAATAAACATTTTATAATTTAATAATTTAAATATTTAACATTTATTTAATATTGTAAGATTAATTACAATTTAATTTTAAAAGTGAACATTGATGTTATATTTATATTTTAAATACAATTTTTGTAATCTGTTCATTGGAAAAATGAACATTTTATTTCCAATTAAATTATATGATTAAACTAATATTAAGATATGACATAAATGAATATTAACATTTAATATGTTATAAATATAGAAATGTGTTGTTGTTGCGATTTCTTAATCAGCGGGGAAAACCATGTAACGACCGTTGTTTCCGTTGCGCATACGCCGCGACCGCTTTGAAAACGCTGATAAACCGCTACAAACTCAATACTCATTATTTATAGAAGAGTCTACTTATGTTATTATTACGTAACTTGATAATTTATTATTCGTCCAGTGGTGCTACATAGTACATAGTGTTAGTACATTGTGCATTTGTGCATCACAATTCACAATTCACACTCACAGTCATATTATAATTTAAGACATTTTGTCTCCGCGCGTATGCCGTAGATGGTAGATGTACTTATTATATTGTATCGTTCGCGTTTTTTATATTTTATAATTTGTATCAAAGACGCGCCTTACAGTTGTCCAGTTATCGAGTATTCCAGCAATACAAATTCAGTTGACGTGACATTTTGTCTCCACGCGTATGCCGTATATGTGCTTTATTATTATTGTATCGTTCGCGTTTTTATATTTTATAATTTATGTCAAAGACGGTTCAGTCGTCCAGTTGTCCAGTAATACAAATACATTTGACGTTGTATACCTATACATTTTCGGTAAGTACCTGCTACTTTTTCATTATCGTGCTCCTTATTATTGTTATTAATATTATAAAATATAACTACTTACGAAAACGATGTAGACAGAATCAGAATGAATAGAACAATATAAAAACTGTAATAGTTAATTAAACAAATAGCTAGATATTAAATTACATTTTGTATTACGTATATTGTTAATTCTATATAAACTTATACATGTATTTAATGGCGGGCTAGTGTGGTCAAATTTCGACCATAGACGAATTGCGCCTAAAACAAAATTTTCGTTTAAGGTATATAGGTATTAATACATTTCCTACTTGAACAAGTAGTTTGATAACTTATTACTTATAAAATAAAGGTATTATTATAAACCTAAATTATTTAAGTATGTTGTAGCCTTGTGTAAGTAGTGTATTAAGATTAAAATATATTTTATAAATCATGTTATTCATATTATGTACCTACATCAAAATTAATATTTATGATATTGGAATAGTCTTCAATTGTTAACAATACTCTGACCTTATAAGTTTTTCATTACAATTTAAAGTTAATTATAAATTTGCTTTTCCTTTTAAAAAGGTTATTGGATGAAGTAAAATTTGATGCCGATATTTGAAAGTTGCAAATGTAATGTATCAAGCTAAATGTTTTATATTTATGTCAATAATTTTTATATCTGTATAACTGCCTACTTATAAATTATAAATTTACCGCTTCAGACGTGGTTAATAAGTTTTAGTTGTTTAATTTCTTTGATTTACAAAAAATTATTAATAGTTAGAAGTTAGCTGGTCGGTAGTAAAGTGTTTTCATTAATTGTGTTTATTTTATAACTATTGCCATATTTTACACTAATATTATTTTGCTATAGGTAATATATGTCATACATATAATAATAATCATTATTTTCTTTTATATTAATTATAAATATGTCTAGTCAATCTGAAAGTAAATCTACTAAGCGTAGAAGATATCTGAATGATATGGAAACCATTGATTTTATTGTTGAAAATCAAGAACAATTAAACTTTTTACCACAACCAAGTACCTCCATAGATAATGATAATGACTTAGTTGTAGAAAGCCATGATATATCATCTCGTAGTGTAATTGTTAATGATGATATTTTTTCTAATAATATTAATACTGATGATATATTTAACTTTTCTTTTTCAACTATTAATTTTGATGATAATAATGTAGACATATCTGATTATTATGATCTACAAAATGAATCATGTAGCTCTGATTCTAATGATGAATATTCAATAAATTCTAATAATATTTTATATGATAATCAATGTTTAATTCTTAAACTTATTGCTAACTGGACAATTGAACATAATATTACATTATCTGCACTATCTGCTTTATTAAAACTTTTAAAAAATCATAAATGTTTCAGTCATTTTCCAGTTGATGCTAGAACTGTGTTAAAGACACCTAATAAACCTAACAAAATTCAAACTATTCAATCTGGGTATTATTACCATTTTGGTATTGCAAATGGTTTGAAATCTCATTGTAATTTTTCAATTATTAAAGAAAATATAATTAAATTGGTTGTTGGTATTGATGGTTTGCCGCTAACAAAAAGTTCCTCTAGCGCCTTTTGGCCAATTCTTGCATATGCTCGGTACAGTTCTTGTAAATCTAATGTTTTCTTAGTTGGTCTTTATTGGGGGAAAGAAAAACCACAGTGTAGTAATTCATTTTTAAAAAATCTTGTTGATGAACTTAAATTTTTAGCAGAAAATGGTATGGATACTGCTTATGGTAGAAAAAATGTCAAGGTAGAAACATTTTGTTGTGATACTCCAGCTAAGAGTTTTATTTTAAACACCAAAGGGCATGTTGGATATTATTCCTGTCCAAGGTGCACCGTTGAGGGTGAACGTATAAATAATACCATGTGTTTTTTAGGTACAAATTTTCGCAAAAGAACTCATTTAGATTTTATAAACCGTGTCGATGATGAACATCATATAGGCAATACAATATCAATTTTAACTGAAATACCTTATATAAATATGGTGGACGATTTCAGTATTGATTATATGCATTTGGTATGCTTAGGCATTGTTAAGAAATTGATTTTATTATGGTTGGGTATATTTAAAAAATCCCCTGTAAATGTTCGCATACAAAGTCGAAATGTACATGTAATTACCAATCGTCTCTTATTTAATAAAAAATATGTAACTGTTGATTTTTCAAGAAAACCTAGGGGATTAAATGATATAATGAGGTGGAAAGCAACAGAGTTTAGACAGTTCTTACTTTATACTGGGCCAATAGTGCTAAAAGGAATTTTACTGGATGAATGTTATATTCATTTCATGTGTTTACATGTAGCCTTTAGAATTCTTTTATGCCCTGTAAGTACTGAAAAATTGGTCAATTTCAGTGAAAAACTTCTTATACATTTTGTTGAAAAATTTGAAGAAATATACGGACCTCAATTTTCATCTCATAACATCCATGGGTTAATCCATATAGTAGATGATTATAGGAAATTCGGCTCTTTAGAGGAATGCTCATGTTTTCCCTTTGAAAACTACATGAAGTTCTTAAAAAAAATGGTAAGAAAACATGAGAGGCCATTAGAGCAAGTAATTAAACGCTATCAAGAATTTTTAACCTTTAGTGAATCTAAATTAAATACCAATCTACACAATGAAATAATATACAAAA